GAAATTAATATGATGATTTATTTAGGATCCATTTGGATCAACTTTTTCATTGTTTTGCTTTTCATATCATGGCCACACTGTTATTTGGTTAGTTTTTATTTATTGATTTTTTGAATTTTTTGTTGTAAAAAGTAACTTTTTACAATCAAATGTTTACGTTTCGTTTGGGTGGCCTTTTTACTACTTCTTAAAGTAGCTTTCTAGTGTAGAAAAATTTAATTTTATATTAAAAAATATTTTAAGAAGCAGTAAGAAAGCCATCCCAAATGAAGCTTTAGTGAGTGATAGCTATAAAAAGTTGATGTATGATATTTTCAAAAGAAAAGTTCATAATAGTTACAATAGCTTTTATAAAATCTTATTTTTAGGCTTCATTTGTGACGTTTTTTTTTTTTCTTTAATTTTTGTACTAATTAAGAAGCTGTTTTAAGAAGTAATAAGAAAGCTGTCCCAAATGAATCCTTAGACAATAATTCTACACATGCTTTTACAAGTAACTGGTGACACCCTAAACAGACCACGAGGGTTCATTTGAGGCGGATGTATCTTTTGTAAAGATACTTGTAGAGTTTTGGTGGGATAAATAATTTTTTTTAAAGATATTGTGGGCATTATAAGAATAAAAAAAAAAATTAAATAGTTGCTTTTTATAGCTATGACATTTTAACATATTTGATGATAAAAATCAACTTTATATTACTAAAATTTCTAAAAAAACCAGCATAAATATTAACAAAATAATATTTTAAAAAACAAAGCAGTGAGAAAGCGATCACAAACACATCCTAAGTGCCTATTTGAGGCGACTACAGCTTTTTGTAGAAATGATTGCAGAGTCCTTTGTGGGAAAAGTAATTTTATAGTAGGTTGTGGATATTTTAAATATTTATCTTCATGAAAATTTTGAACATCAATTTTCTCACCACTATCACACTCTAGCATACTTAGGTTTCATTTGGGACAGCTTTAGATTACTATTTTTTCCTACTTTCAAGAGATTTTTATACTAAAAAATAGCTTTACAAAGAAGTAAGAAAGTCGTCCCAAACGAAACTTTAGTTATGAAAATTTTGAAGAGCAACAAGAACCCTAAACCCTAAACGGAAGTGCGGCAACAACCTAAAAAAGTAAAAACAATGAAAAGGCAGGCTACCCTAGACATCAAAGCCCTACATGAGGTCCTGGTTGGGTACCCATGTTTTACTCGGACGGGCTTCACCCACCCACACCCACCCATGGTAACTTCCAGGATTTCGTACCCACCTATACCCACCCACTTTCCATGTTTTTTGAACGCAGTTTGCCACGGACTGATGGCCTTGAGGCTTGTTGTCATTTACTATGATGACAAACTTTCAAGTCGCATATCAAAATTTATCGTACTCGTATCATGGTTAAGTGTTGCACAATACATAGTGATGATTGCAGTAGTATAAGTAAGATATACAGTGATTATCAATGTAAATCGATTTATCCCTCGATATTTAGTACCCACCCATAAGACCATGGGCGTACCCATACCCACCCATACCCATTGGGTATGGGTGGGTGTGGGTATGGGTACCCAATGCAGGGCTCTGCTAGACATGCTCTTAGTCAACTAAATTGATACTCATTAAATATTAAAGAATTTTTATATGCGATCAAATAGATGAAGATTATATCCTTAAAAAAATTAGAGTTGAGAGATATTTATATAAAACTCCTTTCAATCATGTCATGGAGAAAACATAAGATCATAATTATATAATATTAAAAAATAGGCAGAAATGATTTAAAATTTCTATATTTATTACAAGGACAACAATGTGCTTATTAAGTCAATTTCTTTTTTTAATAAAAAACAAAAAAAATTGAAAATAATATATTTAAAATAATAAGATTAATTTATTTATATTCAATACTTTTATTTTTCTTAATGCTAAAAATTTTGTGATTGATATATTTTAAGAAATTAGTATATCAAAGTAATTATGTGAACATATTCACAAATTACTATAAAATGTGGCCCAATTTTTCTAAAAACAAAACTTTAATATTCTCAATTCAAATCACATAATTTAGGGAAATTTTACTATATATGCCTCTTGATAATTACAATTTGAGAAATGCGTCAGTTATTTGTTTTCTTTGAGACATGCTCGAAAGTTTATGTTATACCAAAATATCTTTTTCTTTGACTACGTAATATTTGGTGATAATTAATCCACCACAAATGACATTAGTTCGAATAATATTTAAACAAGCTTGGAATCATATTCAAGCATCAAAATGTGTTAGAATAAGGTTCTAACCTTGTTTGAACCATATTTGAGTAGGGTTCAATAACATGATTCAAATTGGGTTTAAACAATGTTTAAATAGTGTTTAAATATGGTTCAAATGAGATTTACTTATTGTAGATACAACATAGTGCATTCAAACAACTTTAACCTGTTGAATATAAAATTGATACAATATAGTGTGCAATATATGACATCTACAATATATCATATTGTCAAGTAGATACAAATACAATAAAGATTTATAATAATTGCTATGACATAGTAGATTATAAGATAGATGCAACAAAGTATAATGTGAAGCCTCTGATACCCTAGAATTTAAATTGGAATAATTATTATTATCTTTTTAATAAATAATAATTAGAACTATCTAATATCATTTATCAAACAACAAAACATACTTTATATTTAAAAAAATCAATGTACACATCTATATTAATTTTCATAAATTATATACACTACTCAGGATCTACACAATCAAAATAGTATGGCGAAGACGGATTGCGATTTGCTGTTATAATGACTCCAGAAAAAAATTGGCAAAGTCAAAATACAGTCTATTACAATTAACCAACCATAAGAAAATGTCGTACCCGACATTTCCCTTAAGGATTCAGGCACACAATCGACACAAACTAAATCTGTCCAATCAAAACTCAAATCTAATCAAAATCAAATCAAAATTCATCAAAAATCATACAGTCATGCATCTTATTCTATCACATGCCATTCAATTATGTATGCAAACTAATACACCTTAAATTACCTATCCTACCTAACTCTCAATCAAGTCCTACAACTCTTGTGATAATTTAATTCTTCCAACAACTACGCTCTGATACCAATTGTGATGCCCTAGAATCTAAATTGGAAAAATAATTCTTATCTATTAATAAACAACAACCATAACTATCTAATGTCATCGATCAAACAACATAACATATTTTATATTTTAAAACATCAATGTACACATATATATTCATTCACAAAAATCATATACATTACTCAGAATCTAAATAATCAAAATATTATGGCAAAGACGTATTATGATTTACGGTTATAATGACTTAAAAAAATTAGCAAAGTCGAAATACTGGCTATTACAACACCTCCCGGTTCAACATCTGAATTAACTTGTTCTGACTTGAATTGAAAAAAGATAAAGATTTATAAATTTGTGTTTTTAACCAATTTCTAGGTGTTTGGAAGTATTTTGGTAAGTGAAACAAGTTTGTATGTGTTCTAAGATGAGTCTGAAGGGATTGGAGTGCATTTGGATTTTTTTAAATTTTTTTTTTTACTATTTGAGCACCACAATGTTCGGTGTCCGAGCGCTACAGTGCTTCAATAGCATCAAGGTGTCAAATAGTGAGGTTTTAACATTGTAGTGTTGAAATTTAGGAAATGAACTAGCGTCGCACTGTAGGTGGTAGCACAATTATGCTAGGACATTATTCGCACTTTAAATATAAAATAAATCACTTTTCATGTAGCCGAGTAGAGAGAGAGAGAGAGGGGTTTTTTATGGAAAGAGGAGATTTTGAGCAGCTTTAGATATTTTTTAGTCTTCAATCCAGTTGGGAAAGTTGTCCGAATAGAGATATGTCATATTATGCCTATCTCAGTTTTCAAAAATATGATTTTTTTACAAATTTTTTGATTAAATATATATTTTAGTTACTAAAAAAGAGCATAATTTTGTGCTAGAAAACTTTTCAAAAATATTTTTTATTCAATGAAGTACAAAATATAAAATAATATCCTAATTATAAACAATTTTAAAGCCTATATAATTTTGGAATGTTTTAAGAGCCAACAAAATGTTATTATATTGATTGATGACTTCTATTAATACAAAGAAATGAAAATAATCGAAATAAAATAAATATTATAACTTCTAAAAACATGATAATTCAAATAAGCTAAATAAGGTAAATAGATTGGTTCTAATATCAAATAATTTATAAAGTTTTTTGCTCGATTGACTCACATAGCCCACTTTCTCATTAAGAGTTCTTAAAATATACTTCATAAGTGTTTTCTCATGATTTTAATGATAGTATGAGCTATTCATGAGCTTGTATGAAGAGTTGTGCAAAACGGACAACCTAAATTTTAAATTTTGATAAAATTTCTTGGTTTGTGACATTATTATTGGCCTTTTTCTTGATACTACATCTATTTGATTCTTATCAATCAATGTAATTTTGTATATAAGATCTATAATATTTTCAAGGGAAATACTTATTTGTACCAACAATCATTTGCTCTAATTAAGATCTATAATAAATATAGAAGGATATTTTGATCCAAAATATATTTTTTGGATATGTATTCAATAGCACTAATGAATAATATATATATTTTTAATTATGGAGACATATAAAATTAAAATTCTCAATATTTTATTATTTAAATTCCTCTATACAATTTAGATGTGCCATATTCAATATTTCATTTATTGTTAAAAAAAGTAGATTACATAACAAAGAATTTGTATTTACATATATACACTATCTATTATATTTATTTATATAATAATTTAGTTTCTTAATTTATAAAATATGTAATTTATTTAAACTATGATGTTAATAAATTTTTGATATTTTTTAAAATTTGAGTATTATATATTAATAAAAATAAAGATTTAAGTATTAGCCGCGAAATTACCCGAGAATTCTTGATATATATATATATATATATATTTATGTAAATTCTCTCACCAAAAAAATTAGTTCATCGGCGGTGGAGAGAGGGAGAGTTGGTCGCAAATCGATCGCAAGCATCTGTGCCACATCGCCGCCATGTCTGCCGCCATGTTCGCCGCTACAACCAGCGGCATACGCCCAGACGGAGAAGACGCTTTCATTCCTTCATCTGTCTGCAAACAAGGCGATGTCAGTCAGTCCCTTGACCCCGGACTAACTCAAGCCGTCCCCTTCTCGTCCGGAAACCCTAGAATCGATGAAACGCGGGGAATCATGCATCTCTTTCGCGAAGACGCTTCCTCTTTTCAGAATCTCCCGGTATTATTCCCACGCCTCTGCTTCTGATCTCTCGAATCGATTCGATGAACTGATGCTGTTCATTTATGAAAAACGGAGGGTTGTGGGGTTTATTTGTGTCGTGTTGGAGTTTTGTTTTGCAGGTGGATAGAAAGCCTCTTGTGTGTGTGCTGGCCGTTCCGAACCACATGACATATGCCGATTTCTGCAGTTTCTGCGGCTCCTTCGTGCAGCACATGGCTGAAATGCGGATTCTGAGGTGAGGATGAGACTATTTTTTAGTTTGGAGTGAAACATGAACAAAACATTTCCAATGGTTTTGAGTTGCAGGAACGATGGCATGGAAGATCAGTATAGCGTACTTATTAGGTTCAATGACCAAAGTTCTACAGATAGTTTCTTCAAGCATTTCAGGGGAAAGAGGTTCTCCTCGCTGGAGGTATGCATATTATTTATAAATTTGCTAATAAAACTAAATAGCTCTTTTCATGCTTGATTTGCTCTTTTTTCTTCTGTTGTACTTATTTTTCTTTTCAATTTTTACTTGCAGGTTGATGCTTGTCAGGTGTTATATACGTTGGATGTAGAATATACAGGCTCAATAGAACACGCACAGGGCACACTCGCGAGCTCAGCAGAGCAAGTGAATTGCGCAGTATGTCTTGGTATGTACTGTATTGTAGGTTCCAAGTTCCAACGAATAGTTTTAGCTTGCAACTATGATTCTACACTGAAGTTTTCAAAACATGTAAAAGAGCAAATTTCAGGACAAAAAGATTTATTTTTATGCCTAAAGTATTATTTGTTCGGTCCCTTGGAGGTTTGAGCTAGGCTGTATTCTTCTGAAGATATGTACATAACTGATATGATTCCAATTCCCCTACATAAAAGGTTTGCGAGTTTAGCAGGGCATATGTCGCACTATTTTGTAAGGTAGTATGTTTTTTTTGATAAATCACAGAATAGTTTTCAAGGATAGTGCTAGGGAGCTGGGAATTTCCTAGTATTCTATTGAACATTTTGAGTATAAGTTATGTTCAAGAAATGTTAACGTATGTGATACAACCTTACGGGGGATTTAGGGAAAACAGAGAACCAATTCACAAAACCTAAGAGAGAGAGAATGTTCTTGATGGCTGATTTGCAAGAATAGAGTTTGAGAGAATTCTGTCATTTACAAAATTCTGAATTCTAAAGAGGTCTTCAAGACTATGGAGGTTATGGGAGGTTGAACAACTAGTGGTGGATAGCAAGGGAAAAGGGGGAATGGAAACCCAGAAACTTGGCTGGATCAGTGGGAGCGGGATCTTAAAGACCCATAGTTGGAGCAATAGCTGGACAGTTGGGAGGCAACAAACCTGGCGGCGTGGAGGGAGAAGTCCCGGTTCTTGAAGGCCTGGGCTGTTGTTCTTGCGGTAGAAATGGACAGGGAGGCTGGTTGGTCGAACCTGGTAGTTGGTTGCTTGCTGTGGACAACGGCAAGGGGAAGGAAGAGAAGGATCAAACCTTGGAGACTCCATGATAGAACCCGGTGGAGTGTACTTGGCAGGTTGGTGGAGAAGGACTGGTGCTTTGAGGCTCCAAGAGAGGAACCGACAGTTGAAACTGTATGAGGGAGGCTCGGTTTTGGATACTCCGAGGCAGAATCTGCGACTGAGAGAGATGAATGGAGGAGGGTCTCAGTTGAGACCTGGAAGGAGGAGAAGAGCAGTTCTCAGAAACTCCAAGAGGGGCCTAATGGGCAGTAACAATTAATAAAAAATTTCAAAAGATTAAACAACCAAATTATGTCAATTTTTCATTCCCATGGCCTTTAAATAGGCAATTTATTACAATTTACATAAAATTCCTCCAGCTTTTCAAATTTAGAAAAAAACATACAAGAATAGCTAAAACAATTCTATTAAAGCAATTATTGGATCACTCAGAGGAGATTAACACTTAATGATCCGACTAGACTATTATTAACAGGACCTTTTAGGTCCTCGTGGGCCCAAAGTTGGGTTGGCAGCCCACTAACTTCTTCTCCGCCTTAGTGACTTTGCGCGCGTGTAGGCTCTCCAACAGTAATTTGAATAGGACTTTCTTGACCGTTAGCTTGATATCAATATGTCTGTCTTTCATTGTTATTATTTCTTAATTTGAAGGTTATTAATTCACAAGGTATTTCATTTTAATAGAAAATTGTAGCTCTTTCACTTAGTGTTTTGAATATATTTTGTAGAATAAATGGTGTTGGGATCAAGCATTTTCTTAAAAGTTTGGTTAATGAGTAGATATCTAAGGGTTCTCACTTCTCAAAAGTAGTTAGAAAGGAGTTTTTTTAGATTTTACTTATTATTTTTTGTTTTACAACTAGAAGAAAACGGAAGGCATATTCTACTTTGTGGAACATGGTCTAGTATTCTTTTTGCAAAAATAATGTCTCTATCATTTTATCATAGTATTATCTTCCATATTGTAATAAATAAGTAATAACTCGAGATAAAATATGATATTTGGTTATATATTAATCAACAATCGGTGAGAGTATTAAGTAGCTGCATTAGAAGGCTCCATTTTAAAAGAGGATTTTCATGAATTTATGAATTAAAAAAATAAGTATTTTGAATCATGAGAGGCTAAGAACCCAACGCTTTTTATGATTGTTCCTTCATGTAGTTCATGCTTTCTTCATGGTATCTTCATGTTGTGTCAATTGTAACAACCCCTCTCTCTATATGGATTGTGCCTTCTCTACTGTGACATAAGACACTACTTCCCCAATTGACAATGCTTCATTCGTAGTCCTTGGATGAGCATCCAATGATATTAGGCCAATGGTGGGCTTGTAGGTCGTTGATGGTTGCATATATATGAAAGTTGGTGATACCATGGAAGAGATAATGGTATAGGAAATAGTAGAAAGAAATAGACGACGATTGAGACATAAAATGGGAAAACTTAAAGAGGGAGAGAGACAAAACTAGAAAGGGAAAGGTACAGAAACAAAATATCTTGGAGAGCAATGTTTTATTCATTAAATCTCAATTCATTACAAAGATTTAGGAGAACAATATGTTTGGATACCTTGGATCAATTTTTTTTTAATTAATTTGGATTTCATTGATGAATTGCCTAAGGTGCATTTTTTTATTTGAAACTATATTAAGGTTTTAATGAACTCTCAATTAGCAAGTTGTATTGTATGAATTTGAATTTTGGTTGACAAAATTGTCGGCATCAAGTTGAGCGGCAATAATGAAATTGTGGGTGGATATGAGGTAAATATAGGATAGATTGGGTGATGATTACAGTAGAGAGACCGTGAGAATGTCACATGTCAAAGATAGGTTTGTGATAACAGACATCACCAAAAGTTGCTCAGATCGAGTGCATAGCATCAATGCGGAAGGAATTAGGAAGGAACAAGAGTAGAAAGCTTCATCTGGAAATGCTTTCAGCTTGTTTTTTATTCAGAAACCTGGCACCTCACTTGAAAAAATCTACTAGCCCATCACACAATAATGGAGACTTCATTTTCTATCAAACAATGTAACACAATAACCATAGGAAACATTAAGTTAGTATGGCTAGAAGACGTCAACTAAATTCAACTCCTAGTAGCACTAAATAGGGATGAATGAAGAGGTGGGATTGAATAACTGACACCAAATAAGTTGGTTAATTTACTTTATCAATTGCTATTCTATTGCATTTTTATTGGATATTTATTTAGTTAAGCTCTTGCTTGCTTGTCTTTATCAACTAATTCTAGCTTCCATACTGAAAAGAGATGCAATTTTTTTTTGCTACTACAGAGAGATTAGACCAAGATGATGGTGCGATTCTCACAACAATTTGCAATCACTCTTTCCATTGTTCTTGTATATCAAAATGGGCAGATTCTTCTTGTCCGGTAAGTGGTTTATTATGACTACATTTTCTTCAATTAGCACGTTTTTGTTTCTCCCAGTAATTTTATATCGAATTTCCATGACAATTTCAAAGAAGAATATTAAATAAAAGAGCACATATAGTTGTTGTACTCAGCTTTTTTGGGTTAGTAACTTTGGTTCTCGTTGCTTAAAAAAATTATCCATTTAGTCATATGGTTAAGGGGTGGGCATGATTCATTTACAGCACATTTGCATCAATGCCTAGCTGATGCTACGTGAAAGGGCAGACGTTATGACATGAGCGTATCTTCTATCATTGTTTTATAATTTCCAACTAAGAAGTTATGATATAATTATCAAGATTTAAAATTATGCAATTATGTATTGCATTTCTCATCCATGGAGTGAGGCGTAAGCCTCAAGGCTTTTGAGGTGTAAGCCTCACAATAAAATAATTGTTTAGAGTTAAAATGAAGGTAAAAATAATATATTAGCATCATAACTAGTTAATATATTATTAAATGACATATTAACATTTTAATATAATAAAAATTAATAAATTTACATATACATCATGTAAAAATTTGCACAAGCTGCAAATTATCAAATAATAAATTGCATAAACTAGGAGTTTAATGCAAATATCATATGCAAAGTAATACAAGATATCGAAATCAAATAAAAGAAACATAATATATCAAATCAAAGTAATACATTAACTAAGTTTAGCATAATAAGTTTCTCTCCTTCATTGTTATTGTCCAATATTGAACTTCTAATTATCAAATTAATAGTATAAGTAATCAAAAGTCCTCAGCGCTCTCATCACTTAGGGTGACTTCATTGGAGTCGTACATAGTGAATAAACTTTCTCCTTTGCCTCATCTTCAGTAGAGTTCAAGTTTTCCTAAGCTTCTTCCTCTTTTTCAATCTCTATCATCTTCGTCTTCCTTTATCTGTAATAATCAATAACTAATTGAGAAAATTAGTCAAAATTGAAGAAAACTTCAATTAAATTTCTTTAGATACATTATATTTTTTTTGTCATGTGGTTGTTTGCTTGTGTTCACGTCTTATTTCTATCACCATCTAAGAAATCAATTTTTAGCCATTTTTATTGCAAATCATATGATATGACCTCATGATCATCAGCTGCTAACCATTCATCGTCTGATGGCATATAATCACAAAGTACGGGAACCTCATCATCAGTGAAAATTTTTTCCCAAAATTTATATCATTTAATCTCTTGTTTTACATGATGTACACTAAGGAGTTCATCCTTAAGGTCGTTAAATATTTTCTATTTTTTGTGTGAATTTAATTATATGTGCTCCAATTACTCTTGCATCTAGCTGACGAGCATATGTCCTAATACCTTAACAACTAAATATTGTAGCTTAGGAGTGCCATCGCCAAACTAGATCTACCACTCAATTAAAGTTGAAAGAAGGGATCCCAAAGTGAATGATCTAAATTTTAAACTGTGGGTTTTTGTTAACGTGCCATTTGCTCTACTCATTTATTTGTTGATGTAATTTTGCAATTATTTGTTGATGTAATTTTGCAAGTCTCCTAGTAATCTTAATTGTAATCACTTGTCGTTACTTAGTCCTTCCCGTGGGATTTTCTAAGATCTATCTTGAAAACGCATCCGTTTATGTTTAGCTAAGCAAAGTTCACGCTTTATTAATTTCGTATAAGCAATTCTTGTTTCATCATCTTTGTATCACATCAGATTTGGTATCAAAAAGTGACTAGAATTCTTGCAATGAGGATCAAAATATAATTTATCAGTAGCTGAAAATAACAGCTCATGGCAAACCAAAATAAGAAGCTTAATAGGAGTTTTAAATCCAAAACAAACTAGTTTTTACCCAAATGAAATGAATATTAGTCTATAAAGTTTTGACAAAAAACAAAACCAAAGATCTGATCGGATGTTGGCTACTTCAATTTCAGAAGCATTATTTTTGACTGAGGTGATAATTTGAAGCAGCATCCCTTCCTACTACTGCCATTAATATTATTTGTGCATTTTTATGAAATGTTTTGCAAACTAATTTTTTTAGCTGTTCCTTAGCGTTTTACACTTGGTTAATCTTTGTGGTGGGCTCTGTAGTTTTAGTTGAAATTTTCTTTTCACTTCCCTAATTCTTGCTTTATTTGATTTTCACAGGTTTGCAGATATTGTCAACAACAACCCGACAAATCAACATGTTCTGTTTGTGGAACTTCTGAAAACCTGTGGATATGTGTCATCTGTGGCTCTGTTGGCTGTGGAAGGTAAAATCTTGTGGATTATAAACTATTTGTTTGAGCCCAAAAGCTATGGCACATTGTCATTTAACTGGTCTTAGTAAATAACATCTGTATAGTTTTCTTGGTCACACCACTCTTCCGCTAAAATAGTGAACCTTTTCTTTATCTCTCTGTAATCGTAGAATATACAATGAAAGAATATGAAATGAAATTAAAAGCGCATCCAGGGAAAAATAAGTGACATATTTCCAAGTCCACACTCCTTTTTGCAATATATTGCCTTTTTACCCCAAGGCAAACTTGGAAAATAGGTGGAAGAGAAGCTTTTCTGGCTTAAAACAAAGCCTATCAAAATGGCATCTATCTTTTTTCTTCTTTATGCATAGATACAAGGATGGACATGCAATAAGACATTGGAAAGAGACGCAACATTGCTTCTCACTTGAACTGGAAACTCAAAGAGTATGGGATTATGTAGGAGACAACTATGTCCACCGTTTGATTCAGTCAAAAACTGATGGTAAACTGGTTGAGCTGAACTTTCATGGTGCACATGCTGACGATACCTGTGGAAGTTGTAATTGTGGGGATTCAGGAATTGATGAGGCCCTCTTCAACAGTAAATTTGAAGCTGTAAAATTGATTAGTTCTATTTATTTATTTATTTTATCTTATCCAGGAATGCTTTTGACTCAAATAATCTGTAAAATCATGTTCTTTCACTTTTTTCGCAGATTTTGATGGAATACAATGATCTTCTGACATCGCAGCTTGAAAATCAACGGAAAGTATGTTCTTTTGCAACCAAAATATGTGAAGTGATGAACTTCATTACTTTGCAATTTTATTTTTATTTTAATATCAAAATAAAAATCCTTTCCCAGTGTTATTAGCGGAGTAACCAGAACTGGGATATTTAGCATTCATATATTTCTGATGTACTGAACTTTGAAATTTACCCCTTTAATTTCTATTGCAGTATTTTGAATCGCTGCTTCAAGAAGCAAAGGAAGAAGATGAGAGAGAAATTTCAAAAGCGGTTCAGAAGGCTGTAAATTTGAGGCTACAAAAGCTTAAAACCAAGTTAAATAAGCATATCGAAGAAAAAAGATTTCTCGAGGATGTAAGCTTCAGGAATACCCAGTAAAATTTATTTTATGATTTGATAATTTTGCTTCATATATAATATATGAACACAAGGGACAGTTAACCACAACTTGGTGGAGCGAAGAGCAGGCTTTGGTTAGAATGTCACACAGAAGTGACGCGCCACATTTCTATACTTTTGTGTTGAAATTTTGATGATAGTTAAGTAGTTAACTACATTTAAACTAAGATTAGGTTTATTATTTTGAATATGGGGTTTTAATGGGATGAATAGAGAATTGGACTCAGAGGGAAGAAGTAGAATAAATATACATGTTTGCAAAGAACTTTGGCTTTATTTGCTAATGTTGTTCTTTGCTGTTATGCGTTTGGCAAAATAAAGTCATGATTACTATCACCTCAGACATTTTATTGCATGTTTCCATACAAATCAAATAAAGTTTTTGAACAAGAATCTAAAAGAAAAAGCTTAAGTGGAAAGAAAACAGCTTTATGATAATAAGGAATGTTTTTTTTTGGGACATTTAGGCCATTTAAGGCAAACTCACACACACAACGCATACACATAGACTCGAATCCTGAACCTCTTAGTTGGAAGCCAAAGCTCTCAACCAATAGGCCAAGGAGAGTTGTGTAATAAGGAATGTTTTAACTATTATATGTTAGTAATGGTGGACTTATAGTTTTGGATAAAGAACTGAAGATTAAATTGTTAAGTTGTATATGTTTGGTGATAACATGGTTGTTAATAAGTTAATTAATATTGGAGAGATCATAAATATAGTTAATGTTTTTGTTCTTCAAGATGATTAGTGGATGTTTGAAAGATCAATTTTAATGAAATATTATAATGTATTCTCAAGTAAAGGAAGGAGGACCGCCATTTGTGTCTAATTGAAATGAGAGGTAAGACATTAAGTTAGGTTAAGAAAGGGTTTTTGGTTGATATGATATATGAAATAGATATATTATAGGAGAAGTTTTACTTGATTTACCGTATTATATATTCTAAGAAATGGTATGAACAACAATTAAATTTAACAGTAGTTCTTTTAAATTGCTAATATATTATTTTCTACCACTAAGGAATTAAAAGTCTTCCAGTAGATATTGAATGTCATTCCAAAGAGAACTTAACTTACTGAAATAGTTATGGATAGAAATTTTTTTACATTATAATCTTGCATGTTTATAGAAATAACATCTAAGGCTTCGTTTGGGACGGCTTTCTTTCTGCTTCTTAAAGCAGCTTTCTAGTACAAAAATTAAAATTTTTGTATTAAGCTGCTGCTTTAAGAAGCAATAGGAAAGCCGTCCCAAACGAAGTCTAAGTGTAGCTCAACAAAATTATCAACTTTAATTCTCAATAGTTGGTTAGATTCTTAATTGTTTGGTTTAATTTTTAATGGTGTGATTGAATGTAAAACATATAGGTTTGATTGTTCATTTTAAAATCCTGGATGTTAGTTTTATAAATGAGTATTTCAATGGTGTACATGTAAAACTAACAAAAAGTGTCAAAAAGGGAAATTTTTGGTAAAAGATTAAGCAAGTCAAAAAAAGGGAACTTGTCAATATTTAGAGTCATGTTGTTAAATAGCACAAATTGGAAAGTTGAATCAAACTTAAGATGGGACAAAATGGCCAAGTGCAATGAGAAAATTATTAGAGAGGTTTTTTGAAAGCTTAGCAATAGATCATTTTCTAGTAAAGATAATAGGAGTAAGGATTAAGGAGGCATAAGAAATTATTGAAGGAAATAAGTGTGATTTTATGGAATGTAAAGACTGTTATTGAAGCATATAATGGAAAGAAGCTAGAAGAATTTCAAAGAGGATAATCAGTGAAGTTAGGGCTATAATTTGTGATGAATATGTTAGGTTGGGTAGTGTGAAAAGAAAGGAGATTTATGAAGCAGGTAATGCAAAAGAAATGAAATCTAGATCCTTTGATTAAGGCTTCATTTTGGACAGCTTTCTTACTGTTTTTTAAAGTAACTTTTTAGTATAAAAATTTCAAGTTAAGGAATTTTTTGTACTAGAACGTTATTTAAGAAAACAGTAAGAAAGTTGTCCCAAACTAAATCTAAATTTAGTGTATTAAGAGTAAATAAAATATGATTATATTTTGAGATTAATATTAAAAATTATTGGAAGTATTTTTTTAAATTATTAGAACATTCTGGTTTAACAAATCCATGCAATGCAATTCTTAGAATAATGAGAGTATGCAAAATATTGGAGAATAAGTAATTTAGTATCATTGTAATGATAAATGGGATGGATATATTAGATTGGTGATTATATCAAACTTATGAGTCATGCAATATTGATTATAAGCTGTGTTTTCAAAGTGCTAAAAACAATATGATGCACAAGAGTTTCTTTTTGCTTAAATGCACAAAACGAAGCAGTGCTTTACAATCAATAGAGTTTATGACTTGTACATTATTTATGCATATATTATTTGTATACAATAGTCATTTAATTAGCCAAACTTAAATCATATTAGATAGTAATTTTCAACAAAATAATAAATAATCAAAAATAGTAATTCTCATCTATTTGTAAGTGGAAAAAAGAAATAAAAAGAAATAAATAATAAAGTAATGAAAGAACATATAAAATCAAGAATACTTGTAAGACTCAGTGGCTAACTAGAGATCAAGATGTGGTGGTAGCATGAAGCGAGAGAGATTGCTGAGATAAGGCATCAAGTGGCATTTTTGAAATGAAACTTGTGAACAAGAGTCTACTAATGCCAACCGCAAGTCCTAGTGAAAAGTGTATAAGAAAACTAGCGGACGAGAAAGCATTAAGAGAAGAAGTACAAGAAATAACTAGCTCTAATGGAAAGGAACATAAAACAAAGGAGCAATGACTACAAGAAAGTTTGTGCCTATTTATTATGATGAATGTTGCTCTGAATCATTAGATTTGAAGAATGATTTTGTTTTTGAGCTGGAGTTAAGTGCACAATGTTATGAAATTATTTGGTGAAGCGGTGTGAAACTATTATGACTCTAATAAGTGGGAGCCAGCCGCCCGCGCCCAGCCCAAACTGGTTGAACCAAGTAGAAAATCTGGGTGGGATCCAAATCAAGAGGAAAGGGATTTCATCCCCTCTTGTGGGGTCCATGAAAGCTATAATTCATAATGTAAGGAGGAGGAATCAAGGTGGAGTTGTTTAGGAAAGCTTTAATTAAAATTGGGAGAGAATTATTTAGGGAAAGAAATTCAATTTGATATAAATTTGAGAGAAAATTATTTAGGGAATGGAGGTTGATTTGGGATGGAATTAGGGGACATCCTATTTAGGGATAACTATGTTGTTATTTTGTATTATGCAATTATTTTTTGCTATAGTTTTATTGATGAGTTTCCTAGAGATGCCTAGGGTTTGTGGTAGAGCCGTTCTACCTCTCGAATAGTAGATCATTTATATCTTTCTTTCTTATTGAAGAGATAATCACAAAATCAGCCCTTATCTTCACATTCTTGCAGTTTCTTCTTGTTTACCTTGCTGTTTTTACTTTCAAGATGCATCAGAGATACGGTTTTTGCTATGAGGTTGCGCTTCATAGGCAAGCGATGCACAAGGTCGACACATTGCTTTATTTTGCTCTTAAAACACGTTTTTAACAAAACTGATTATATGACAGTGGTGAAACAAAGCTAGAAGAAGATCATATCAATATCTATGAATCATTTAGTTTTGATTTGAAGAAAATGAATGATGGTAGCAATTTTTATGTTAATTCAATTATGAAATATTATAGAGAATTATTAGAAGAATTTTTAAATTTTGTTGCAGAAGTATAATTGAGCACCAAGAGAGTTTTGGTTTAGTGTATGGGGATAAAATTATTTTTATAAAATATGATGAATTCACTAAAGATGTCTAGTGTAGTAATGCAACATTTGAAGTAGTTTTGTTGTGTCTAAAAAGTTTCTAATCACTCTAAGGGTTTCTTCTAGGTTCACTTTTAAGTTTATTAGTTATGTAGGTGCTTATATTTGGTATTCTTAATCAAATACCTTGGTTTATGCTATTCTTACATGACATTGCATTAATAGATCATATTTTCTTCAAAGTGAAAAAAAGACCTGTAAGATTATGAACTTGGGATGCTTAGAATAAAAATTAAGTGCATTGGATGTTAATTTAGTTCTTATGGGCTAATACTGAGCAATGATCGATTATCTTTTGTCACTAAATAGTAGGTATATAAAGGAGGGTACAATTGTTTTGTTAAAAAATATCATGAATATAATGGATGTAACTTATAGAATTTTAAAGATGGTTGTTTTAAATAAATTATGAAGGCTTAAAAATAAATTTAATTGAACATCAATAAGACCAATTGTATTGTAGGAAATAGAATCTTAACTAATTTTGCTAAAATATTAAAATCATTAATGAAAAAAATGGTCCCTTGATTCTTTATGAAGGATCAAAATGATTTTCAACTATATTAAATGATTATTTTGGTCTCTCAAGGCTTTAAAAAGGAATCAATGGGACTATTTTGGTTTCTCTTTGAGTTGAGAGCAAATTGGTCATTTAATTTAGTTGGGGATTATTTTGATCTTTCATAAAGTGTCAAAGGACCATTTTGATCATTTTCTCAATTATTAATATTCATATGTCTGTATTATACAATTAGGGAATAGAAGAGTGAGAAATAAATACATTACGAATTTTCATCTATTGAGGATCAATTCTTAGAAATAGATGTAAGTGCTTTGAATATGTGCAAAAAAGAGAAGATGATGAACTAATAAGACAGGATGCATCAATAATGATACCTTGTGTAAGCTAAAGTAAGCACCACACATAATACTTAACACAAGTGAATGCAGGAGGATTGCTTAAGCTTACCATTAATATTTGGATAATATTATTGATGATATGATGACGGGAAGATATGTTACTTGCTTTTTTACCTGTGTTTTGTTTTGGATGTGGCATGCCTCTGAATGATTTGGATGTTTTGTATTTTCTGTAGATTAATGAAAATCTTTTGAAAAATCAAGAGACATGGAAGGCGAAAATTCAGCAGATGGAGGAAAGGTATTTACTCCTATCACTGCAATCTTCATGATAAGAGATAAAAATTATGGAAGATAAAAAAAGAGCAATTAGTAACAATATTTTCGAACTCTCATGCTGCAAATGTGATGATTAATATTTTACCCATCTTTATGATTATTGTGGCTCGTTGATGCGGTTTCTTTTTTCTCTTTACATAAAAAATTTGAAGTTTCCTTGCTATCACTCTTTTTTTTACACTTTCTGGATACTTTTTGTATAGTGGATTTGGTTGGATAGAGTTGTCCATGTTGTTGAGCCTATTATTCTTAATGTGGTTTTTGAGATGCATTATGTCATGGTTTTCTTAAATAAAATTATGGTTATTTTATTTTCATTTCTTGGTGGGAATTAACATGATGCAATATGGTCCATTAAGAGTCGAGTTCAAGGTAGCAAACATTAACTTGGCATGTACAACACACAGTTTGGGAATATATATATATCAACATTATAATCATTAGCCATATCACCCAATTATGTGGGAAATATTTGTATTTTTGGTAGGTGCAGAAATCATACATGGACATCTACATTTTGTGAACCAAAAACATATAATACTGATATTAGAAAGTTGGCTGTAGGGGTGTCCGGTCTCAGTGTTTGCGTGCAATTATTTCTTTGATTCTTCATAACTTCAAAAAAATTGGACTTTCAGGGAGCAAGCAGCTGTTAGACGCAAGGACGAGAAGATACAAAAATTGGAGGAACAGGTAACTCTGAATTAAATCTCCCAACCATAAAACCAAGACTGACTTGCATTTTCTTAACCTTATTTTCTGTTCATGACTAATTAAGGCTAGTTTAAATTGAACAAGTTGCATTAAAAATTACTTCTCATTTTTATTGTTTTCCACGAAAAAAGCTCTACTTTTGGATGTCTAGCGCCTCATGGAGTCGACAAAATTAAAGTTGGAAATAATAAAAGATGGGGATGCAATTTAAGATGGCAGATTTTCTACTAAATTGAAGAAACTTTTGTCTAATATTATACGGAGATACACATAAATATATACGATTTTAATGTTCACTTATGCAGTGGATATCCTTGGCATTCATCACCCTCCCTCGACTCTTTCTCCACCACTCCCTGATCTGTCGCATCCTGCCCCCATTTTTGCCTGTTTTTGGGAGAAAAAAAAAGTTGATTTTGTTTGGAGATGGGAAAATATTGAGGTTAATAGCTATATTCTGTTATAAATTGGAATAACACAAATCTTCTTCAGGATGGGTAGTTTCACCTTCCCATAGGGTTATGTGCTTATTTTTTCTTCATTTTTGTACTCTAAAGCTGTTTTATGAAGCAGCAGTAAAAAAATCGTCCCAAATAAAACTTTAATAGTTTTTTAACCGGAGAAAACATTCAAATATAATATGTTTTTACTTTATGAATGTTTCACTTTAATATCACCATTTCACGCAATATATCTGCTTTAGTAAGTGAGATGTTGCTGCTACAATTAAAGATTTTTTTTTTGGGTTAAAATTCTTAATTCAATAGCTCCATTTCTGATTGGCAGCTTCAAAATCTAATATGTTCCATTGAAGCCCAAAATGCAGTGGATGACAATCCTCCCTCGCTGGTCTCAAATGACATAAAAAATGTAAAAATAGCCCTACCGGGATCATCATCATCATCATCCCGTTCAAAATAAACAAGTTCTAGTCCTGCTAATAGCAGCTGTAGGAGAAGCTGAGCCGTTCTGATTTATCTTTGGATGGTCCGGCGTCCACATAGAATAATTCAATGGAGAGCACTATTATTGCTCATGAGACAATTTAAACTAATTTGTATTGCTATAAGTATTAATCATTTAATCTCATTTTGGCTAGTTTTCTAGCCATAATTAGTATGCTAAAAAATTAAAATAACTAGTGAAGGCAACGTAGGAAGAACTACAGCCATTATGTATATGGTCGAATAATATATATTATAGGAGTGTTCTGTATCTAATATTATGTATAAAAATATCTGCATTAAATTAACTGTTATGCTTTTCCTATTTGATTAAGACTTTAACTTTGGGATGGCTTTCTAATTGTATTTTAAAACAGTTTTTAGTATAAAATTTAATTTTTTTATTAGAAAGTTATTTAAGAAGTAATAAAAAAAGTCATATCAAATGAAGCCTTTGTTTGTGATAGATTTCTTCTTGCTTTCTAACTTAAAAATTTTTTGAATTTAAAATTTCTGTATTAAAAAATTATTCTAGAAACTAATAAGAAAACTGTCCTAAAAGAAGCCCAAGTTCATCTTTAATTCATACGTTGATTTGCTTAACCTAATCTGTAAAGTAAAAAAAAAAAAAAAACTCTTTAATATTCAAGTTAAATATAGTAGCCCTATATAAATAATTGTATGGTGAGCTGCCCTAACTCCAGACTGGCTTTTTTTATTTTTATTTTATTTTTTATTTTTAAACTCCAGACTGGCTTTGACGAAGCAGACATCTATCAAAATGAACTCATGCTGAAACATTCAAATCATATAATTTTAAGTTAATTATAAGGCTACCAGGATTCCTTTTGGTGTCTAGTCTTGGATGAATTATTATGTGTGGATGCCGAATGTTGTTCGGAGACTAATAAAAATGTGCCACATCATCTCTTGCTTAGTACCGTGACTCAAGTGCACAACGTGGTATTGCTGACATGGCACTGTCTGATTGGTCTCTGGAAGACGTTTTATTTCCATTATACGTCCAGTCCATTGTCCTCTCTTTCTATCCAGAAAAAAAAAAAAAATCAGATAAGCCAAATTTCATACCGAAATAGTGATGTTAAATGTTCTTTATACAATAATAACAAGTTATTTATTTAAATATGAAATTTCTTAAAAAAAATATTAATTATTAATCAAAACGGAGGCCTAAGGCTAGTTATTAGTTATTACAATCATATAGAAATGAGACTATAAAAATTATGTCTGAATATTCTAATTGATTTGAACATTTAAAAAATGATTTAAAAATTTTCCTAATTATATACATAAATAGATCTTTAAAAATAATAAAGTTAGATTGAAATATATGAGTTCTGTTGCGTGCTAGAAAATACGCGGCGGTAGAGTTTGTAAATTCGCGTTCGAGCGTTGCACGTAAATTTAACACACAAACAGTAAAGAGAATATGAACACCGGGATTTATACGTGGAAAAC